TTTAAAACAAATCTCATACACAGTAATGTTGTGAAATATTATTATAATTAAAAAAAAAACTTAATATTTTAATGTTTCCTATTTTACATTTCCTAAACATTTTTATTTTGATATATTTTAAAATGCAATTTATTTAGTTTATTTTTTTGCAATTTATATAAAAGCTGAATTTTTAGGATCCATTACTCCTACAAATTCGCATGAAGAGTCCCATGATCCTATAACAAACATTTCTTATTATCAATGTTGATAAAAGTTGCCTAATGTTTTTGTGAAAATCTTGATACATTTTTCTTTGATGAATAGAAAGTTCAAAACAATTATTTTAACAGATTTTTTATTTAACATTATAAATGCCTTCACTGTCACTTTAGATCAATTTTGTCCTCCCTGTGTCCTTGCTGGAGTATTAATTTATTATATATATATATAAAAAAACTGACACACAACTTTTGAATGGCATATAATTTTGTGTAATACATTTTCAATGAATTCACAGCCCTTAATGTTAACCATAATATAATTTTAATAATCTAGCTGACTGTTCTACAATTCTTTTGACTGAAACTGATCGCATAGTGAAGAGACTGCATATAGAACTCTCTCTGTTACACATTTGCTGTGATAAGGCCCATTAAAACATAACAGGGGGCCGTGGATGGCCGTACCGAGGGAGAGACTGCAATTACGATGCCCAGTGACTTCAATTGGAGCATGGCATGTTCTCACTGACAGATACAGCATCTGCAGCAGCAATGCCTGAGGAGAACAATGACCGCTCTATGTCCCAGAAGTGCTCATTGCAGGACACAAAACAGAAGCTCATCTGTACTTGAGCACTTCACAGTAGAGATCAGAGAACTGAGAAAGTCCCCACTCTTCCTCATTTGCCACCTCCTCCCTCAAACACAGGCCCATCCATTCTCTCTAATGGCCATATCTCAACGAGACCCCCATAACCCAACAGATGTGGAGGTCCTTGACCTTTATCACCCTCTGACAAAGACATCTGACCTTGTGGTCTCCGACCTTCCCAGTGAACTACCCCTCTCTGTTTGATCAGACATTTTTATTAGCACTCCCAGTGAATGGTTGAACTGCTGAAGGCACTCATGACCTGGATGTGTGCAGATCAGGGTTAAGTAAGTACATGCTCTCATGGATGAATGAGTCTTTCAAATATATGTGACGCTTCAGTTCAGATACACTTGGCTTCAGTTAAAACTTCCCTTCTGTAAGCACATCATCCTGACTGCCTGAGTTCATGGCTTCAATGCTCTCTACAGGATCATTTTTCAGCAGCTAGACAGGAATGTACTTCCAGCTCCCATACTAATCTAATTTCATCTCACATTTACATAGATTCACAGCGCTGTGGATGCATCTCATTCTCACTTCGTCCATGATCTATGAGATGATTGGGTCATTTTAGCTTTCTAAAAGTGTCTTTTAGCTACCATTTATACTGAAATGTGAATATGGAAAGAAGCATTAAATAATGATATTGTAAAATGATATTTAAAGCAATAGTGTGTAATTAATTAAATGTTAAAATGGAGGAGTGTTCTTAAAGCCTGTTTGAAAACTGTTTGTTACCTTACTGAGCAATTTTCTACTAATTTTGCCAGCTTTAAATGACTTTCACTGGTGTAACTAAATATATTTATATATTAATTCTGTCATATAAGTCATTCAAACAATCGTATACTCACTTCACAATGTGAACAAATTAATCATGTGGACTAGCTACAAGTTTGTCTACTGCACAGATGCAGAAATAGGTTTATTGATCGGAGCTGAATCACAAGTCCTAACCTTGACATTCCAGTAACAAAGCAGCGAAACCATAACGTTTTGAGGCACAGAATCTACCTCATTTCCTTCAAGCTCTTGGGAGTAAACAGCATGCCGTATAGCAACAGATAAGATGGAGACCACTGTTTAAAGCCTTCAAATAGAGCCTGACTATTAAAGTGTAAAGTGGTCGATTTAGGGACCAATTACTTAGCTAAAGGAGTGTGTCCAAATGCCCAAACCGCCAGAAATGCAGATGGCAAGTGTTCTGCATTTATATAATAGCTAGGATTTTAATGTCCATTGAAAAAAAATTTTTTTACCACGTCCTGCCTTAAAAATGAAATTAAAAGAGTGAGGAGGATGACTGATGAATTTGTATAGAAAATAATAATAATAATAATAATAATTATTATTATTATTATTATGAGTACCTTGCCTATTTGAGTAGACAAAACACACAAAAAATGCCATATGGTTTAATATTTTTTAATATTTAACTTTCAATTAAAAGTCAAATGTTTGGGGGCAATAAGATTCTTCTTCTTCTTTAAAGAAATTACTTTTTATTTAGTGATCCAATGATCCAATAAATTGATCAAAAGTGTCAGAAAAAACATATAGTTAAAAAGATTTTTATTTCAAATAAATGCTGGAGAATCCTGAAAAAAGGGTATAATTTCCACAAAAATATTAAGGCCTATTAAGCAGCACAACTGTTTTCAACAATGATAATAAAAAAAATGTATTTAGCATCAAATCAGCATATTAGAATGATTTCTGAAGGATCACGTCATACTAAAGACTGGAATAACGGCTGCTAAAAATTCGGTTTTGTCATCACAAGAATAAATGACATTTTAAGATGTATTAAAATATATGAAAATAGGAATTATTATAAATTGCAATAATATTTCATCTTTGAAATCTTTGATCACATTAATGCAGCTTTGCTGAGCATAAGAGACTTCTTAAAAAAACAAAAACAAAACTATACATTTGAACATTTGAAGGATAGTGAATATATTACTTATCATGATTACCTGTTTGGTAATTACATGTTTGTTATAAGAACAGCACATACAAATTTGGGAAGTTGGGCTATTTTTGTGTCAATATGGAATGAATATATGCCCCACATGGACAACACCCATCAAAAAAGATCTGGACCGCGAGTCCTACCCAATCGCTCACCCTCATCTGCTTCTGAAAGCACGGGGATCTCGTGAATGTTTTATGAGGCTGGTGGATATAGCACACGCCCTCATTCCAGTAGATTGTGAAGCTATATTTACATGAATTATTTTATAAAATATTCTAGGTCATAAGTCTTCCAAAATCAGAGTCTGCCAGAATCAGCAGCATCATGTCCAAGAGCTGCTTGCGTACTACTGTTTTTTTCTTTCTCAGTCTCTCACCGTTTCACATTTTTGGTTCTAGTCGCACACCTGAGCACACTGATGGGGCTGCTGCAGGCCAGCATTAGCAGTCCGTGGTGTACTTTTCCACAGTGCTTCACTGAGCTTTAATTTGCTGCTGCTGCTCGGTCTGTCACTATCAGTTTTAACCCTTGGCCATGGCTGTCCCCAGCCTCCAAAATGCCTCTGAAATGCTCTCTCTCACTACAACTGTCACCAATAAACCTGAGTCACTGACCATTTATATACTACCTGTATTACTTTGCACAAATTACCTTTCCAGTTTTCAAAACGCGGTTGGGCTAAAATCAAAAATCATTTTTGATGTTTAAAAATGGTCAGGTTCGGTTTCTGGTCATGGTCATTAGATCTAACTTCTAAACAATACTTCTGGTGATTCAGATTCAGAGGCAGGAAGCGATTAAAGGTCTCAATGAGCCTACAAAGAATGCAAAGAAAACTGAGTGGAGACTGATCACAAAATTCAAAGGGCAACACTGAAATGCATGGTGCAAAACCTTCAGTCACGTTAATAATGGAGAAATGCCTAAAATGCTTCAGTTGGTTCTCAGTAACAAGACTTTTCTTTTTCTTAAGTCATACAGATTCAACTGATAAGAACAGAATAAAACCCCATCAAATGAGGCAAGAATTTCATGCCACAGGGCTGAGTCACAGAACAAGGCGGTTAGTATTGGGGCATACTGACCTTGGTGAGCTTTTTGTGTATGATCAGAATATATGAATTGGAGCAGTTTGTTCAGACTCGGGTCTGCATTATTTATAACATGTTGCTGAAGATGACTTAATTGAAAATGCCTTTATTGTTATGCTTTCGTTTAATATCGCAACTTACTGAATAATATTTCAAGGCTAGTACATGTACGTCTCTATGGAGAATATTTCTATTTAAACATGTATTGTTTATTTAAAGGGTTATTTTTAAAGTAAATAGACACTTTCTTTTAAACTTTTGGTTACAATTTTTTAAGCAAGAAAAACGGTTAATATGGGGTAAGTTGGCACTTTGGAACCTGCCATTAAACAGGATTTATATCCAAATTAAACAATTAACAATTCATAAAAAATAATATAAAAATGTTTTAGCCAACAAATATCGTAATAAATAAATGGCACACTTTATGACATATAGATCAAACTACTTGTGACAGCTTGCATGAGGTCTTTGAAACCAACAAACAAAACAACTACTAGAGAAAACGCACCTTTGACTAAACTTCCTAGTGTGACAACTAGCCCCGGTCTCTTTTACATATGAGTAGTAGGTCATACTCTTTAATGCAATATAAAATGTTACAATGTTATGCAGTGTTAACGGCCCCGGGTCTCTCCTATATATAACAGACTTCTCAAAGAGGCCAGTAGTTTGCACAGGTGTTTAAGGTAAGACTATCTAGCAGCCGCTATGATTTCAATGAGGGTCGTCACTCCCGTGCAAACAAAACGCCGTTACTCGCCGTTCACACAAGTCCGCCCCATTATTTCATAATAGACGTGTTTGTTTCCTATAGGCCTCCTGATAACTACAGTGTGCCACAGTTAACCGAAATATTCCCTAATTATTATTCCGCTAGACTGTATTGCGCAATCCCTTTCTGACAGATTATTATGGGACGCTTCAGTTCTCAAAGCAGAATATAAACACAGCGGGTGTCGTCCTGAATACTGCCACAAAACAGACAAATAACAAATTAAAGGCGATATGAATTGAATTGTTAAGTGAATCATTACGTTTTGGATGATAAAGGTTTGAAAGCGCTTTCTTACCTTTGTAAAAAGCTTTGAATGAGGACGTGCTCGCGTCTCTCTGCCTCCTCCAGTGACGCTGCGTCAATAACGGCCACTGGCCTTTTCTAATGTTACGAGACTTTTTCTCTCTCTTTAAGCAGCTGCAGCCCCCGTCGCAATAAGGATGTTGTCGTCTGCACGACACGATCTCTCTTCCTCACTCTGTCTCTATCTTCCTTTCATAATAGCCTAAATCATTCCCCTCCTCCCTCCTCCCACTCTCTCTCTACCTTCCTCTCCCCTCCCTCTCACTCTACATTTGATTCAAATGAGGGAATACGATTAATGCGACACAAGTAAATGAACCTCTTTTTCTTTATTAGGCTACACAGTGAATGTACACAAAGAAGGTATAAGTTTTACTCAAATGAGGTAAAGTGTGTACCGTTCCCCCACTGGAACACACACAAAAATACACTAACACACACCCCTTCACACCTCTCTAATGAAACCCCAATGGCACAATATGCACACCCTCACATCTCAAGGAAACCACACCGTCTGTGTTCAGATTGTTATTCCCGCCACCACTGATTCATAAAGACTATGAATAATGTCTGAATAATATTACACAGCGCTGCTGCATACAAATACGTCTGAAAGTAGAAAGTATAGTAAACCACAGAAAAGGCAGGACACTCATTTTATTCTAAAGGACTGAAATTAAATTAGTTTCTTCCTGTAGGTTTTTTTAGAAAACAATGTAAGCATTAAAGTCCACCACTAAATCTACCTGTCAGTGGGGTGTAGGCTAGCAGGTCGTACAAAGAGTGAGAATAAGAATTTATATTAATTAAGGTACAGTCACATTAGCAAAATTTTCCCAAAAGTTTGCAGACAAAAGAGGTCCATTATCCATTCTCTGTTGGTCAACATGGCAAATTCAAATGACCGACTGAACCCGTTGCGAAATCTGTGGGAAAATCTTTCGCCCTATCAAATGGTAAATTGCGTAGATTCCACCAATTTACAAAAAAATAAAATAAAAAAACACATAAAATAGTTGGTCACAACTGTTTAAATCAAGAACTAATGGGCTCATGCTTCTCAGAAGTTTCCTCTGAAAAAGGTCTCTCCTACAGTGTATCAGAAACAATCTCAACAGTAGCTTTGCAATAAAAATCAAGATATCTCACAACTGACAAAATGATCTATTAATTTTATAGCTCTAAACTTCCACCGTGAGTGAAAATTTGCCTCATATGTGTTTATTTTTATTCATCTAGGACAGTGGTTCTCAAAGTGTGGTACCACTAGTGGTACTCAGAGGAATCACAAAATTAGGCCTAAATATAAATTAATGTTAAAACACAATACATTTTAATGTAATCTTTATTGGAGTGAAGGTTTTTTTGTTGTTGTTATTTTTGTTTTACATTTAAATACAGTACAGTTTTTATTAAACTTTTAGGTACAACACATTTTAATTTAATATTGTTTTCAGTTTTTTATTTACCTGTTTGTAAGCACTGTGCAGTGTTAATGTTCAAACTGTGTATTTACAATGTTAAAGTGGCTGACAACAATAAATATTCCTATTAGGAATAAAACTGCCTCATTTTTTAACTGTGCAGAGCTGTAGCTGTATAGGTAGGCCTACTATGCTACTGTATTTTAATGTTGGTTATTATGGTGGTACTTGGAGAGCCAAATGTTTTCTGAGGTGGTACTCGGTATAAAAAGTTTGAGAACCACTGATCTAGGAACTAAAGGAGAAACATTTGAAATGAATTTGATACTTTGTTGAAACACAACTCAATTAAGCATTATAAGCAATAAAAGAGCAAGCAATAAAATTTTCCTTTGGGTTTTTCTTAACCTTTTTATTGGTAATACTTGTAGTCAAGGGAGATCTAGGAAAAGATACATAATAGGTTGGAAAAGTTAGCAACATTTTTTGAAGAACTTTGTTTTGGCTAATAAATCTGCTCAAAATTTAAGACTGAAAAGCCAAACTTCGACTATCACTCATTTTATTAAATACTAAAGGATGTTTTCTTTAGAATAGAGAAATGAAACACAGCATAAAGATATGCCATCCAATTTCTTATTTTTTAATAATTGGTTTTGAAAAATTGGACACTGGAACACAAATATACAGACATAATATGATTAAGAAAACTAGTTTCAGGCAAAAGTTGCTCAAGGGCCTAATCCAGTAATAAACTAATCTTGAAATTGAAGTTAGTATGCCCATGCGAAGGAGAGGGAAAATACAAAATGCAATGCGAAATGCTTGGCACAGATGAAGACAAATAGATTTGTTAATTGATTGTGTTGTCTCAGCATGAAGTAATGAAAGGAGAGATTAAATAGCTGTCAAGCCATGGCAAATGACACTGGAACACGATGGTTTTAAATGAATTTATTCTACAAGATTCCAGGAAGTTCCAGACTCCTCATTCTCCCCTGGCTCAGACAAGAGGATGTGATCATTTTTCAATGCCCTTGTCCCCAGAGACTGACACTGCCCGTCTAAGCTGGACCTCACCAGGCCAATACTAAGAGCCTGGACCCTGATTGACTGTGCGCGCCAGTCCCTGCTGTCGTATTAATTTTCATTTTGACTGCTGGAGCCTCTACAAATCTCATCAATGCTGTCACAGACTGTGGCGGTGTGCATGTGATTCAGGCACTCAGCCCGTGTGTGTCCGCCTGCCTGATGTGATACGTATTCTGATTCTCTTTGTTCAGGCCATGTAATGAATAGCTACTGATGTCAGAAGAAAACCTGTCACTCAGTGTATGTTTATGTGTTGCTGAAAGAACAGAAAAGGCAGAGATCTTTATGGCCCTTTGCCAGAATAAAATTTAGGTGCAAAACACAAAGACAACATTTTGTCTTAAAGATGCACAATAAACGAATGAATGAATGAATGAATGAATGAATGAAAACTTATAAAAAAAGTATACTTTTGACCAATATGGTTAAAATGGCATTTTATTATTAAATCTAAAAAATTATATATTTTTTTTGTATTGATATCACATGATTGGCCAAATGGAACTCGTATACTTATTTATTTATTTATTTTGGCTACTTTTGGTGCATAACAGATTTAATGAATTATGCTTGACATACAGTATATACCTGCAATTGCACTGAAAATTTCTGCTTTTCCATGATGCTTCATCCATGCCAAGAGTCGTGTCCATCTGCAACATAAACAAAAACTGACTTACAAAGCATGTCAACTACATGAATTGAATATTATGCTGATAGTGTTTCTGTCTGGTCATTCCAGGCTTACTGCATCAGCTGGCTCCAAACCCTCGGTAGGCGAGCTGAGCTCCATCTGTTGCTTTCAGAAGGATCAATAGTTGTGATTTCTAGTGATGTCTAAAAGCTCTGGGTAACTTGAGCATTCTGCCCAAGGCCCCACTGCTTGCCTTCAACCGCCACTGAAGAACAACCCTTGTGCCCATGCAGAGGTCACTCAATATAGACTGATTAAATGCTCAGTTCAGATTGTGTATTGCTAATATGGGAGATTAGAGAGTAATTCCTAATAGTACATTTTCACATCCATATCATGTATTGTATGTCTTAATAAGTTATTAAATACATTAAAAAAATATATTATTTCAGTATCACAATATGGTTGTCAATTTTAAATTATTTTGTTTTTAAATAATTTCCCCAAGTATTACAAATTGACCATTTAAAATATATACAAAATAAAAATATATCTAAAATAAAATTTTAAATATTAAATAATCCTCAAATTACATTGCATGTTCAATTTGTACAAGTTGCAGGGTTCAAAATATTCTGCATAGCATTGTCTGAGCCTGAATGTTTGAAAGCCATGAAAAACCATAATTCAACACACAGAATAGAAATTTCCAGATCTGCCTTTTCCTTTGTCAGTTCAAATGCATGCATACAATAGATATTGAAACAATAAAAAGATCACATCACATTGCCTATACTAAACATGTATTGCTGGACATACACATATTCCTGCATGCATGTATGAATAAATGAATGCATGCATGCGTGCAAAAAAAAAAAAAACTTGATAACAAAGGGATATGACATCCAATTTCTTCTTTTTTTAATAATTGGTTTTGAAAAATTGGACACTGGAACACAAATATACAGACATAATATGATTAAGAAAACTAGTTTCAGGCAAAAGTTGCTCAAGGGCCTAATCCAGTAATAAACTAATCTTGAAATTGAAGTTAGTATGCCCATGCGAAGGAGAGGGAAAATACAAAATGCAATGCGAAATGCTTGGCACAGATGAAGACAAATAGATTTGTTAATTGATTGTGTTGTCTCAGCATGAAGTAATGAAAGGAGAGATTAAATAGCTGTCAAGCCATGGCAAATGACACTGGAACACGATGGTTTTAAATGAATTTATTCTACAAGATTCCAGGAAGTTCCAGACTCCTCATTCTCCCCTGGCTCAGACAAGAGGATGTGATCATTTTTCAATGCCCTTGTCCCCAGAGACTGACACTGCCCGTCTAAGCTGGACCTCACCAGGCCAATACTAAGAGCCTGGACCCTGATTGACTGTGCGCGCCAGTCCCTGCTGTCGTATTAATTTTCATTTTGACTGCTGGAGCCTCTACAAATCTCATCAATGCTGTCACAGACTGTGGCGGTGTGCATGTGATTCAGGCACTCAGCCCGTGTGTGTCCGCCTGCCTGATGTGATACGTATTCTGATTCTCTTTGTTCAGGCCATGTAATGAATAGCTACTGATGTCAGAAGAAAACCTGTCACTCAGTGTATGTTTATGTGTTGCTGAAAGAACAGAAAAGGCAGAGATCTTTATGGCCCTTTGCCAGAATAAAATTTAGGTGCAAAACACAAAGACAACATTTTGTCTTAAAGATGCACAATAAACGAATGAATGAATGAATGAATGAATGAATGAAAACTTATAAAAAAAGTATACTTTTGACCAATATGGTTAAAATGGCATTTTATTATTAAATCTAAAAAATTATATATTTTTTTTGTATTGATATCACATGATTGGCCAAATGGAACTCGTATACTTATTTATTTATTTATTTTGGCTACTTTTGGTGCATAACAGATTTAATGAATTATGCTTGACATACAGTATATACCTGCAATTGCACTGAAAATTTCTGCTTTTCCATGATGCTTCATCCATGCCAAGAGTCGTGTCCATCTGCAACATAAACAAAAACTGACTTACAAAGCATGTCAACTACATGAATTGAATATTATGCT